GCCTATAAACCAAGCTAGTTGAGAGGCAGAGATTGAGAACAGCCCAGGCATAAACGTTGGAGAGACTGTTTCAACTAACAGCCAGGCACTGTGGTAGGTGCCTGTTAATCCAGCTACAGAAGCACAGTGGTGAGCACCGCGGTACCTGTTCGCTATCCCGTTTACACAGGGGTGCCTCAGTAGGCAGACTGCAGCCCAGCTCTACCCGGAAAATAACCAAGGCAAAAAGGAGCTGAAGGCCTCGATCAAGTGGTAGAGTGCCTGCCTAGCATAAGGCCCTGAGTTCAAGACTTAGTAGTACCAAATAAATAAGCTCATTAAGCCCTCAGGTTAGCACCGTGAGTCAGGACCAGTTCTATTCCCATTTTAGGTAGGGCACATGAAGGGCCGAACTGTACTTGAATCCTGAAGCCTGCATCCTTCTTCTTTCTCCAGGGTCCACAGCACCGGGCCGCAGTCCCATGCCCCTGGCTATGCACCGGCCCACAGCTCTGCAGGCCTCTGGTACTTGTGGGTCTTATGGGAAGTCATTTACTTTTGGAATTTTTCATGGTGTGGAGGGGTAACGGGTGAGACAAAGTCTCCCTGTGTAGCTCAGCTGCATGGAACTAACAATCCCCCAGCAGGTGAAGCTCCAAGTCTGAGCCCTAGTACTGCCAAAAGAGAGAGACCAAGAGAGAGACCTTCCTCCAGGCTATCCTCAAAGATAATTGGCTGGTCTGATGTACTTTGCTGGAGGCAGCAAAGGCCATCATTCCTCCAATCTCCCTAAATCTGTTTTTCCGGCCTTGTCACCCCCTGCAGCTCCCCTCAGGCTCCTCCACCCCAGGTCACCCTCCCCTTCCTAGATTTTGAGTCATTCCTCACCCCACTTCAGTCTCAGTTTTTAGAACCTGAGTGGCTCTCCTGACTCCTCAACTCTCTTTTACCCTCTCTAAGACTATCATCCCATAGGCACAGAACCAACAATTTCATGCCAAGCCAGGAGCTGGTGGATTATGACCTTGATCCTAGATTTTAGGATAGTTCAGTACACACACTAAGAAAAAAAAATGTGTGTGTGTGTGTGTGTGTGTGTGTGTGTGTGTGTGTGTATAGCCATATACCAGTGTCTCACACCTATAACCCTAGCTACTGAGGAGGTTGAGAGCTGAGAATCACAGTATGAAGCCAGCCTGGGCAGTAAAGTTCCTGAGACTTCATGGTAATCACCAAAAAAAAGTCAGAAGTGGAGTGCTAGCCTTGAGTGGAAAAAGTTCAGGGACAGCACCTAGGCCCTGCCCACACTCACGCACACATGCATGCACACACACACACACACACACACACACACATTCCACACCAGCTCCCATTGGCTGGTGTGATCACTCTCTTGGTCCCCAACTCCTGGGACAGTGTGATTACCAGAAGGCTGGGCCACCTCATTATTCCATATCCACCATTCCTTCCTGACACATACCCTCCAGTCCGTGCCCCTTGGCAGGTCTGGGCTGAGACAAACCAAACACATCTTGGCCTCTTGTAAATTCCATCACTGGGCTCCCAATTTCCCCCAACTCATCCATAGTCCAACTCTGTTCAGGGACATTTTATCTTTCAGGTTGCCCAGGCCAAATTCTTAGGGAGCAAATTCCTGAAGTGTAAGCCTCAGGATGGAGGATAAGGAAGACTGGCCAGGTAGGAGTAGAGAGCAGGTGGGGATTGTGAGCAGATAAACAGCATGGAATCTAAATACCAAAATGGTGTAAGACAAAGGAGGATAGCCTCCTAAGCCTTCACGTCTTTTTTTTTTTTTTTTTTGGCCAGTCTTGGGGCTTGAACTCAAGGCCTGGGCACTCACTGTCCCTGAGCTTCTTTTGCTCAAAGCTAGCAGTCTACAGCTTGAGTCACAGCGCCACTTCTGGCTTTTTCTGTTTATATGGTACTGAGGAATGAAACCCAGGGCTTCATGCAAGCACTCTACCACTAAGCCACACTCCCAGCCCACCTCACAGTCTTAAACACAGCAGGCCAGTGGCAAGCCTTGGTTTTGCCTTGAAGATCTCTGTGGTTAGCAGGGTACCTGTGTCTCATATCTGAAACCTGAAGATTGAGGTTTGAAACCAGCCAGGGCAGAAAAGTCCAGGCAACTCTTATCTATCTCCAGTTAACCACCAGAGAAAGCTGGAAGTGAGCCAGGCTCTGGTAACTCATGATTATAATCTTAGCTATCCAAGAGGCTGAGATGTGAGGTTCAAGGTTCGAAGCCAGCAGAAAAAGTCTATGAGAGTCTTTATCTCTAATTAGCTACCAAATACACCTGAAGTGGAGCTCTGGCTCCAGTGGTAGAGGCTAACCTTGAGCAAAAGAAACTAGGGACAGGTCCTGAGTTCAAGTTCTAGGACCAGCCCGTACTCACAAACATACTCAAACCTGGAAGTGGAGCTGTAGTAGAACCTTCAGCAAAAAAAGCTGAGACAGTGCCTACACCTGAGTTCAAGTGCCAGTACTGGCCCAAGTTAAAATATATATCTGTATAGTTTATCTAGGACCAAGGCCTGGGCCCTCCAGTGCCCAACCTTTCCCTTATGCTTCTGCTTCCCAACGCCCACACAGACCAGGAGGCTGTCACTGGAGTTACATGCCACTCAGCTGTGCGCAGACAGCCCCATCACGGGTGGGCAGAGACAGCTGGCAATCCCAAAAAGAGCAAGTACCTTAGGCAGGGCATCAAGGGGCTGTCAGCCTCCTCTCCACAGGCTATACCAAGCAAGTGACCTTAGGCAAGTCACTTCTCCTTTTTTGGATCACAGCCTGCTTCTCGGATTTCTGTCCAGACTCCAGAATAACAATCACCTTCTCCATATTTACTATGCATGGCCTCACCAATCAAGTGCTTCCTATCTATTCCTACCAATTAACCCCACAGTCCTAGATGGTGGTGATTTGTTGAAAAGGAAACTGAGGCTCAGAGAGGCTTGGGACTTCCCCAAAGCTCTCAGTGGGAACAGGTAGGTGGTGACACAGACGGGACACTTACCTCCATGGTGGCTGCGGCTGGTGGGCAGTCCCTGCTGGTGGCTGTGGTCCCCCAGGAGGCCTGGGGCCGGGCAGAGGCTGGGGCCCAGGCCCCTGTCTGCTGAGCTGGAGTCTTCCTGCTCACTCGGCTCAAACTCTGGGATCTGGAACATGCTCTGGGCTGCGGAGAAACGATGGTGGGTAGTTACAGTGCAGCTGGAACTGGGACAAATGGTGGCTGTGAACAGCAAAGGCGGAAGACTAGTGTCCCACGATCTCTCTCCCACACTAGGACCCCCAGGCCCTCACGTCCGCGCCCGCCCTCCTCTATCGGCGATCTGCATCTCCTGGCCTGGCAGGAAGCTCAGGCTAACACCAAAAATTCCCCTACAGGGCCGCCCAGGTGAGTGTGGGAGCCTCGGGCCGCTGCCTAGGCCCCGGCGCGCCCGGCCCGACCCGCCGGCGGGGACGGCGCACAGGTCTCACCCCAAGCCCGATCTCGAGGCCCCTGACCCGGGCCCGCCACCTCCCTCCTAGTACTAAAGGCGCCCGGCCCTAGTTTCCTAGGCAACGGGAACTGTCACTGACCCAGCCCAATCAGTTCTCGTAATGAATCCCGGGTAAACCCGGAGGCGGGGCCACCGCGGCCGGGCGCCACCCCCTGTCCCCCCCCCCCGCCCCCCGGCACCGACCTGCCCCTCCCCAGGCTCCCAGCGCCCAGCTCCGACTGCCACTGGCCCGGAGCGTGGCGGGGAGCTGCCGGGGGCTTCTTGGAGTCCCCATTCGGGACGTGAAGGTCTGCTTCTGCTGACAAGTCCTCCCGCCTCTCCGGGCCTTAGTCCCCGCCCCTCCGCCCGTAAAATGGGGATAGCGACACCTCCTTCGGGAGGCGGTGGAAACTTTGTAAACAGCCGTGACCACGGTGGGTGAAAGCACTTTGTAAAGGTCGTGACCGAAGCTACGTCGGGGTGCAATTACTGTTGCATTTCTCACTGCGCCGCCAGCGCCGAGTGACAGGCTGGGAGGCCCCGCACCCTCCTCCCGCTCCTCCGGGGCGTGGAGACCTCGCGCTGCCCGCGCAAGGGGCACCTCCCCGGGACGCGGCAGAGCCCCGGAGATAAGACAGGAAGGCGAGATGACTGCCCGGGCGCGGGAGCCGGGACCGGGGTCCCCGTGAGGGCGAACCGTAAGGCTTGTCGCGGGGGGCTCAGCGCCCGGCAGGCGATGCACGGCCGGCCGGCCAGGTGAGCGCGAGCAGCCGCGGCCGAGGCGTGGGACGGGCGCACCCGCCGCGGACTGGAGGGTCCTGCGGATCCAGGCCCAGGGGGCGGGGCCACGGCGCCATCTTGGTTGTGGGCGGAAGTGTCCTTCAGAGACCCAGCGAAGGGGAAGTCGTTGCCGCCCCCGGCCGGGCGAGCAGATCCCTTTTTAAGGATGAGGGGCTCTAAGCGTGGAAACTGGCAGCTCCCCGCAGACCAGCAATGGCTGGTGGTCCTGGACACGGCCCGTCCAGGTGCCCGTTGGGCGCGGCGCCGGTGGCCTCGACGTCTCGGCCTCCGGCCATGGTAACCCCGGGCGCCCGCTAGCGGCGCTATTCGCGCCAATTCTCGAACGGCTCTACGCCGGGCGCGGCGCGGGGCTGCGAAGTTAGGACCCGCTGCTGCGTAATTTGCGTAGCTGACGGCGCCCGCGCAGGCGCAGGAGGGGGCGGAGCAGCGGGAGCCGGGGAGCTGGAGCCCGGCGTCCCGGCGACCGGAGCCCGGTTCCCCAGCGGCGGCCTGAGGACTAGACATCGGCGTCCTCCTGCCCCCCGCGGCTGAGGGTGGGCGCGGTGGGGGAAGGTCAACGTCTGGAATTCCGAGGACAGAGGAAGAGACCCCTCCCCTTTATCTGGATTTTGGAAGGGAGAGAGCCCTTAAGCTTGGGAGGGGGAGAGCGGGGCTCTGGGCGCCCCCGCCGCGGCCGCTGCCCAGCCCTGACGGGCATCGGGCCGGCTCTCCCCCTCCTGCCAGGCTAACACGAGCGACCAAGGCCAGGGAGTCCTCCAGCCCCAGCATCCCCTCGGCTCCGTGGCTCTCGGACCGGCCCAGGGAGAGACACTTTCAGCCCTCACCCCATCTGCCTTGGAGAGACAAGACTGCCCTTCCACACCCCCGAGTGAGGGGCCCAGGCTGCCCGGGACCCCGCCAGACTGAGGGTCTCTGTTGAGGAGAAAGGGACCTGGCAACCATCACGTCTTCCTGAGTCTCCATCTCTGTCCACTGCAACCTGCAAACCCCATCCCTCCGTATTTATGCCCCTGACCCCTGGCCAGCTTTCCATCTCTGCCTCTGAGATTCAAGCCTCCCTCCCTCCCTGATATGGAGAGTAACCTCTCTGGCCTGGTGCCTGCTGCGGGGCTGGTGCCTGCGCTGCCACCCACCGTGACCCTGGGGCTGACTGCAGCCTATACCACCCTGTATGCCCTGCTTTTCTTTTCTGTCTATGCCCAGCTCTGGCTGGTGCTTCTATATGGGCACAAGCGTCTCAGCTATCAGACGGTGTTTCTGGCACTCTGTCTGCTCTGGGCCGCCTTGCGTACCACTCTCTTCTCCTTCTACTTCCGAGATACTCCCCGAGCCAATCGCCTGGGGCCTTTGCCCTTTTGGCTTCTCTACTGCTGCCCTGTCTGCCTGCAGTTCTTCACACTGACGCTTATGAACCTCTACTTTGCCCAGGTAACCATGGAAACGGGTTGGGATGGGAGGTCAACAAATCCAAGGGCCCAAAGGAGTGATGGGCATCTCTGCTCCCAGGTGGTGTTCAAGGCCAAGGCGAAGCGTCGGCCAGAGATGAGCCGAGGCTTGTAAGTACTGGGGGGGATACTGTTGGACTGGGCCCCATGTTCAAGGACAGGGGGCAGCCTGCCTTTTGGGGCCCAGACAAGGACAGCACAAGCAATGTTTGTGAAAGAGTTGGGCAAAGCTAAGGGCACTTGACCCAGATGGTCCTGCAGGCCATCATCTGTACATAGGGATGAGGGTCAGTGGCAATAGAATCAGCTGCCATGCTTGGAGGGGAGAGGGGAGCTGGCTGGGGGAATAGCTGGCTCTGGCCCACAGGAGGTCCAGGTCCCACCTACATTGCGGGGTGACCTTGGGCTGCAATTGCACTGTACCTAAATTGCACAGTTTCTAAAGGGCTTTCACAAACAAGTTTCTGGAGAGGTTGGTCTTCTCATTTGAGAGAAGAGGAAACTGAGGCTCAACAAGATAAAACAGGTTCAAGGTCACAGAGCTGCTAGGAGTCAGAACCAGGGCTCAAACCCAGATTTCTGACTTCCAGTCTAATGTTCTTTCCAATGGGCCACCTTCTCTCTTTGGGCCTCAGTTTCCCCATCTGTAAGACTGGATGATCTCAGTTCTGACTGACATTGCAGGGGAGGGGCTCTGAGAAGGTAGGGTGATCTGTGCCTGGCTGACAGTCTGCGGGTACCTATGCCGTGGGCTGCAGGCTGGCTGTCCGAGGGGCCTTCGTGGGGGCCTCCTTGCTCTTTCTGCTGGTGAATGTGCTGTGTGCTGTGCTGTCCCGCCGGCGGCGGGCACAGCCCTGGGCCCTGCTGCTGGTGCGAGTTCTGGTGAGCGACTCCCTCTTCGTCATCTGCGCCCTATCCCTTGCTGCCTGCCTCTGCCTCGTCGCCCGACGGGCCCCTTCCACTAGCATCTACCTGGAGGCTAAGGTAGGGGCCACAAGCCCTGATGCCTGGGGGGGCCTTGGAGAACTCTGGGCATAAAAGAAGCTGAGAGCCTTCTCTCCCTGAGGGTCCTCTGTTGTCATCTGTGCCAGGGGACCAGTGTGTGCCAGGCAGCTGCCATGGGAGGTGCCATGGTACTGCTGTATGCTAGCCGGGCCTGCTACAACCTGGCAGCCCTGGCCTTGGCACCCCGGAGTCGGCTGGATGCCTTTGATTACGATTGGTACAACGTCTCCGATCAGGTGGGTACTTGGCAGGTCTGCCACTTTCTTAGTAGCTGTGTTGCCTGTCCTGGCCTGGTGCCCCTCTGGCCTGCCCAGAGGCTGGCACATACTCTTGCCTTCCACAGGCGGACCTGGTGAATGACCTGGGGAACAAAGGCTATCTGGTGTTTGGCCTCATCCTCTTTGTCTGGGAGCTTCTGCCCACCACTCTGCTGGTGGGCTTCTTCCGGGTGCACCGGCCCCCGCAGGACCTGGTAGGGCCCCCACCGGCACTGTGGGACCAGCAGAGCAGCTGGACTGTGAGAGTCCTGGGCAGTTGAGGGGAGCAGGCAGGAGAAAGCGTTGATGGTGGTGATTTTCCCCCCACAGAGCACCAGCCGCATCCTCAACGGGCAGGTCTTTGGCTCCCGCTCCTACTTCTTTGATCGGGCAGGCCATTGTGAGGATGAGGCCTGCTCTTGGGAACACAGCCGGAGTGAGAGCACCAGGTAGTCCAGCCTCCCCTCCTCCCTCCCTCCTGCCTCCCCCCCACTTCCATGAAACTCTTGTCTCCAATAAACCACTAGAAAACTGGAAATGGCACAGTGGCTCAAGTGGTAAATCACTCGCCTTGAGCTGAAGAGCTGAGGGACAGCACCCAGGCTGAGCTCAAGCCCCACACCAACCAGAAAAAATAAATAAATAAAAACAAATAAATAAAAGGGCTGGGAAGGTGGCTCAGTGGTAGAGTGCTTGCTTTGCATGCATGAGGCCCTGGGTTTGATTCCTCAGCACCACATAAGCAGAAAAAGTCAGAAATGGTGCTGTGGCTAAAGTGGTAGAGCACTCGCCTACAGCACCCAGGCCTACAGTTCAGGCCCCACAATGGACCCCCCAAAAAAAGCCAGGATCCAGTGGCTCACACCTGTAATCCTAGCTACTTAGGAGGGTGAGATCTGAGAATTGTGGTTCAAAGCCAGCCCAGGGTGCCCGTGAGACTCTTATCCAATAAACCATCAGAAAACTGGAAGTGGCGCTGTAGCTCAAGCGGTAGAGCACTAGCCTTGAGCTGAAGAGCGCAGGGACAGCGCCCAGGCCTAGAGTTCAAGCCCCACAACCGACCAAAAAAAAAAAAAAAAAAGCCAGTTCTTCCTTTCTATCCTCCCTCCTATTTCCCCCATTTTTCTAGATGGGGTTCCCTTCTGGGTTTCTACTACTGCCCCACCTCCCTTAGGCAGGGATGTAGCTTGCTCTGAGTCTGTGCGTAGTGCTGGATGACAGTGTCTGCGCGAAGGCTCTCCTCCTACCCTCCTACCTTCTTACCAGTGCAGCCTGGTTGCTGCCTGGGTCTGACTCTGCTTCTCTACCTGCAGCATGTCTGGAAGCCTGGGCTCTGGCAGCTGGTATGGTGCCATCGGGCGTGAGCCAGGCTGGTGCGGAGGCAGCCAGACCAGGACAACGCCACTGCTCTTCTCCCAGGTGCCAGGACCAGGAGGTCACCACCACAGCCTCTACTCCACCCCACAGACGTGACCCCCTCCCACTTGCCCCAGATTTGTGGCCCCCTTACCCCAGGCCCCGTACGAAGTTCGTCCGCCGCTTCTTGCCCAGGATCCCGGGGGCCGTAGCTGCCCCCCCTCTGGCCAGCTCCTCGCTGCTCCTCTCATAGTGAGCTTGTGCTCTCCCCCTAGGTTGGGGGGCACAGCCCTGGCTGCCAGATGCCCACAGCGCCCTGGCATGACCTGCCACCTCCGCTTCCACACTGGAGCCAGCTACCTCTCCTGTGCCTGCCACTCAATAAACTGTCTCCACCCCTCATCTGCTCCCGGCCTGTCGCTCTCTGCTTTCCTTCCTCTCATCTTGGGTGGTCTTGGTCCCTGCTGATGAAGGCCCTTGACACTTGGGTGGTTAGACTGGCCAGGGGAGGGGAGAGACCTGCGGTTTTTGAGAAGAAGGAGATTATGTGGGCCTCTGTTCTTCACGTTCTCCTGGCCATCTGTTACTCCAACAATTTCAACACTTTCTGTGAGATATTTTTATTTTATTTATTCATTTTTGCCGGTCATTCATTTTTGCCGGTCGTTGGGGCTTGAACTCAGGGCCTGGGCACTGTCCTTGAGCTTCTTTTGGTCAAGGTTAGCACTTTACCACTTGAGCCACAGTGCCGCTTCTGTCTTTTTCTTTTTCTTTTTTTTTTCTTGGGTCTGGTCGTGGGGTCTGAACTCGGCCTGGGCGCTGTCCCTCAGCTCTTCAGCTCAAGGCTAGTGCTCTACCACTTGAGCCACAGCACCACTTCCAGCTTTTTTCTTTTTGCTTATGTGGTGCTGAAGAATCGAACCCAGGGCCTCAGGCATGCAAGGCAAGCACTCTACCACTGAGCCAACTTCCTAGCCCACTTCTGTCTTTTTCTGTGTGGTACTAAGGAATAAAACTCAGGGCTTCATGCAATGCTACCACTAAGCCACATTCCCAGCCATATTTTAATTTTTTTAAGGACAGGATCTTCTTGTCCAGCAACAATGGCTCACGCCTATAATCCTAGCTACACAGGAGGCTGAGATCTGAATATGACAGGCAGAAGTTTGTGAGTCTCTTTCCTCTCCCCCCTTCCCTTCCCCTCCCCCTTCCCTTCCCCTTCCCCTTCCCCTTCCCTTCTCTTCCCTTCCCTTCCCTTCCCTTCCCTTCCCTTCCTTTCCCTTCCCTTCCCTTCCCTTCCTTTCCCTTCCGTTCCCTCCTTTCCTTTCCTTCTTTCCTTCTTTCTTTCTTCCTTTCTTTTCTCCCTCTCTCCCTCCCTCTTTCTCTTTCTTGCTTTCTTTCCTTCCTTTCCTTTCCCTTTTCCCATTCCTTTTCCTTTCCTGTTTCCTTTTCCTTTCTTTCTTTCCTGTGTGTGTGCCAGTCCTGGGGCTTGAACTCAGGGCCTAGGTGCTGTCCCTGAGATTTTTCTGCTCAAGCCTGGTCCTCTACCTCTAGAAGCACAGCTCCACTTCCAGCTTTTTGGGTGGTTAATTGAAGATAAGATTCTCACAAACTTTTGTGCTGCACTGGTTTCGAACTCTGATCCCCATCCTCACGTATCAGCCTCCTGAGTAGCTAGAATTATAGACGTGAGTCACTGGCGCCCAGCTTGTGAGCCTCTTACCTCCAGTAAACTCCCAAAAAGCCAGAAATGGAACTATGGTTCAAGTAGTAGAGTGCTAGCCTTGAGAAAAAGAAGTTCAGGGCCAGACACTGGTGTTGTATGCCTGTAATCCTAGCTACTCAGGAGGCTGAGATGTGAGGATCAGGGTTCAAAACCAGCTGTTCAGGGAAGCCCATGAGACCAGTTAACTACCAGAAAACCAGAAGCGGAGCTGTGGCTCAAAAGTGGTAGAGTACTAGCTTTAAGCAGTAATGCTCAGGGACAGAGCCCAGACCCTGAGTTCAAGCCCCATGACCCATAAACAACAACAAAACACAGCTGAGGAACAGTGCCTAGGCTCTGAGTTCAAGCACCCTACCCCCGCCAAAAAAACCCCCACAAAACAACTTGATCTTGCTGGGTGCTAGTGGATCATACCTGTAATCCTGGCAAATCAGGAGGCTGAAATCTGAGAATTGGAGTTTACAGCCAGCCAGGGCATTAAAACCTATGAAACTCTTATCTCCAATTAATTAACCAGCAAAAAGCCTGAAGTGGACCTATGGCTCACATGGTAGAGTACCAGCCTTGAGTGAAAAAGCTAAGGGATAGCACTCAGGCCCTGAGTTCAAGCTGTGGCACACATACAAAAACCTTTCTCTTCACTCATCTTTAACTAAAGAGCTCAGGGACAGTGCCCAGGCCAGAGTGCAAGCTCCACAACTGACCAAAGAAGAAAATCTTTCTCTCTTTTTTTTTTTTTGCTAGTGCTGGGGCTTGCACTAAGGGCCTGGGCACTGTCCAGGTTACACTCCACCATTTGAAACACAGCGCACTTCCACCTTTTTCTGAGTAGTTGGTTGGAGATCAGAGTCTAATGGTATCTAGGATTACAGGTGTGAGCCATGGGTTCCTGGCTTTGCTTCCCTTTTATTTAAAAATTTTAGGGCTGGCTGGGGCTGGGAAGGTGGCTCAGTGGTAGAGCGCTTGCCTTGCATGCCTGAGGCCCTGGGTTCGATTCCTCAGCACCACATAAGCAAAATGAAAAAAGCTGGAAGTGGCGCTGTGGCTCAAGTGGTAGAGCGCTAGCCTTGAGCTGAAGAGCTGAGGGACAGCGCCCAGGCCCAGAGTACAGGCCCCACAACCGACAAAAGAGTCTCCCAGACTTTCCTGCCCAGGCTGGCTTTGAGCCATGATTGTCAGATCTCAGCCTCTTGAATAACTAGGATTACAGTTGTGAGCCATGGGGTGCCTGGCTTCTGTTAGTATCTTAACTTCACAGGGCTCGGCTTTGTGAAGCTCGATCTCTATCATCACCTCTAATCTGACTTTCAGGTACCAGGAGTTAGCAAGGGCCTTCAGAGCAGGAGCTGTGGTGGCTGAGCAACCTGCCTCACAAGCTGAGTGATGAGTGGGGTGTCTCCATGCTCCTGGGGGCCCTTTTCCAGAGGCCTACTCACTGCCCCGAGCCTCTCATTATCCAGCAGACCTGTCCTGTGTCCGGGAGTGGTTTATTGGACCCACTGACTCCTGCCTGCATGTCTGGGGGTTCCAGCTTCTCCAAGTTCCCAGAGTCTAGGATTTTTTAGCCTGTCTGAAAACCTCTTGCTTGGAACCATTCTGGGGCCAGCCTGGCCAGGCCTCCAGAGAAGTCACCTGAAACAAAACTAGCCTGAGGCTGGACAATCTTATGTGTGTGTGTGTGTGTGTGTGTGTGTGTGTGTGTGCACATGTGTATGTGCATGTGTATGGGATTTGAACTCAGGGCCTGGGGTACTGTTCCTGAGCTGCTTTTGCTCAAGGTTGGTACTCTACCACTTGAGCCACAGATTCACTTCCATGTTTTTGGTAGTTTAGTGGGGATAGAGTCTCATAGTTGCGTTGGGAATGTGGTTTAGTGGTAGAGCTTGCCTAGCACCCATGAAGCCCTGGGTTCAATTCCGTGACACCTCATAAGCAGAAAAAGCTGGAGGTGGCTCTGTGACTCAAGTGGTAGAGTGCTAGCCTTGAGCAAAAGAAGCTCAGGGACAGTGCCCAGACCCTGACTTCAAGCCCTAGAACTGGGGGAAAAAAAAAAAGTCTCACAGTCTTTCCTGCTTGGGCTGGCTTTGAACCTGGATCCTCAAATATCAGACTCCTGAGTAGCCAGGATTACAGGCATGAGCCCCTGGCCTCTGGCTGGACAATCACTTTGTGATGAAAAGAAAATTATATTTGTAGGCACTTCATTGTGCTTGCCAGGCTCTGCGTTGAGTATTTATTAATGCTGATTTCGTGAATGCTTCCAACAACATCCAAAGTGATAATTAAGCATTCTTTTCCTGTAAGTGAACAAGGAGCCTCCAGAAACTGTAACCTGCCCAGGTGTCCTATTTGCAGATGGGCAGGCTCAAAGTCCAGTCCAGCACTCACCCTGGGGCTTAGGACCCCAGGAAGCTGTAGAGGAGGGTCTCTGGGGAGGTCAGAGATTGTAAAGAAGGGTGAGAACTGGGAAGGGGGGTAGATGGATGGAATGTTCAGGACGCGAGCAGAGAATGCTGCCACCAGTTTGGACTGAGATTGGCACACAGCTTTTACCTGGGCTTGGGGGGGGTGACTCCTGGGTGGGGAGGTGAGGACCTGAGACGGGGGAGCCAGGAAGAGGTTCAGGATGTGCTCCAGCAGTGACTTCCCAGAGGTGGGTCCCCACCCACAGGTTGACCAGATCCACGGAGATTCCCCCCCCCGCCCCCCCCCACTTGCATGCATGCCTTTATCCTGCCGGGGCTCCTTCCTCCTTCATAAGTGCTGAGCCCAGGGCCCCGCGGTCCCCAGGGGTGGGGAGAGATGGGCCCCGTCCCGATCCTTTAATGGAAGATGAGCTCCATGTGTGCCAGAAGACCTGGCCAAGCTGACGCTCAGGCCAGGGCCTTGCTGCTGGCCATCCTGGACTTCATCCCAGACTAGAAGGTTGGACCCTGAGGCGACCTTTGTCTAACTCTTCTGCCACCATCCGCCCCTGGCTGGGCGGAAATTGGGGATCCAGGCGGCCGCAGGTAAGGGGGTGGCAGGGAGCGGCGGGGGCGGAGGCGAGGGCGCGGCACCTAGGTAGGTGGCGGCGCCGGAGGGGTTAATTGCCTGGAGGAGGGGGCTTCTGGAGGCGGGAGGGGGTCCCAGCCCGGCGGCCTCCCGCCCCGCCCCTCGCTGCTGCCGCCGCCTCCGCCGCCCAGCCGGCACCCGAGAGGCCGCGGGGACCCGGCAGCCGCCGCCGCCGCCGCAGCGGGCGACAGTAAGCGCAGGGCCGGGCCGGGCGGGGACGCGGGAGGACTTGGGGGCTCCGGCGCCCAGGGGGCGCCGGGCCAGGCGGGGCACCCCCTCCGGAGTGGAGGACCGCGCTGCGCGGCACGCCCCGCGCGTCGGCGTGAGGACGCGGGGGAGGCGGTGGGAGGGGGCGCCGGCGAGCTGCGAGTCGGGGTGCAGCATGCGTGTCGGGGCGCGGCGAGCCGGGGTGCCGCACGCCCGCGAGCGGCGTGTCGGGGCGCGGCGAGCCGGGGCGGCCGGCGCCGCGCGCGGGCCCCGTGGCGCGGCGTGTGCGCACACGTGTGCGCGGACCTCCGCGGGGCCCGGCGCGCCCCCGGGGGGCCGCCGCGCCGAGCCCGGCCGCCGTGTGCAGGTGCGGGGCGCGGCGGGCTGCCGCGGCGGAGGAGGCGGCGCAGGTTGTGCGGACTGCGGCGGTGGTGAAGTGTGTCGGGATGTGCGTGTGCGCACGTGAGCGTGGGCACACGTGTGTGTGCGCCTCTCCTCCCTCGGCCCGCTGGCCGACACCCGTCCCGGCCCTGCCCGCCCCGTCGCCCTGCGTCGCGCTCGCCCTGCCCTGCCGGGATTCCCGCCTTGCCTCTGGGGCCGGTCGAACCTGCCCCGGGGTTCCTCGAAAGCCCGGCGGGGTGCGGTGGGGGGGACCCCAGAGGCCCCCACCAGGCCAGTTGCCACCAGCTCGGGAGCTCCGGGGGAGGGGAGGGAGGGAGCTGGCCCGGGTGGCCGCGGCAGCCGCAATGGGAGAGCCGCGGGGGATGGACACACCACCCCGGTTCACCCGCCATCCTGCCTATTTCCCCTTCCTGTCTGAGGGGATCCCACATTTCCTCAGTCACTCTGCCTCTCAAGAGACAGGCTCAGCCTTTCCATCCTTCTCTCATTGGCCTCCCTTCTCCAAAGGAGGCCCTCCTCTCTTCTTCCAGCCCCGAGTCCTCTGATGGGGCTGAGGGACGGACAGAGGTGAGAAGGAGACTAGAATCAGGGGTTCTGTGGGATCCCTGCTATCAAGTGTCTAGCCAGAAGGACGACAGGAGACACATGGGGGGCGGGGGAGGGCAGAGGAGGAGGGTGTGGGTGTTAGGCATTTATTGACCCCAGCGTCCCTGGTTTTGCCCACAGTGACCACTGCTCCCCAGGACCCCCCTGCCCCGCCTCCCCAGGCGGGCAGTGGAGCCGGACCTGCCCCTGGACGTGCCATGCGCAGCACCACACTCCTGGCACTGCTGGCACTGGTGATGCTGTATTTGGTGTTGGGTGCCCTGGTGTTCCAGGCCCTGGAGCAACCCCATGAGCAGCAGGCCCAGAGGGAGCTGGGGGAGGTCCGAGAGAAGTTCCTGAGGGCCCATCCATGTGTGAGCGAGCTGGAGCTGGGGCTCTTTATCAAGGTGCGTGCAGGATGGAGCCCCTACAGCACTTGTTCCTGTTCCGTGGGACTGGTTCTGGGGTGTGAGTGGGCTTCCAGACACAGATCCCTAAGGACTAGGTGCAGCTGTGGGGTGCTGGGTAGGAGCTGGGATTCAAGTCTCTGTTTCAATATGGTGGTCAGGAGCTGTCTTTTGTTTTCCTTATTGTGCCTGGTAAGCAGGCTGTGCTCTTGGAATTTGTGTGATGGTGATGGATGGATGGACGGATGGATGGATGGAAGGCAGGCAGGCAGGCAGGCAGGCTGGCAGGAAGGACGGACAAATGAATGGATGAATGAAAGAAATACATGAAATGAGGTCTAACTCATCCTAGAAATTGCCAGGTAAAATTCAGGATGAATTCATGTGCATCTCAGTTAAGCAACTAATGCATTTTAATCTAAGTGTGATCCTGCAATGTTTTTACTTGCTAGCACTGGCAGTCTTCCTGATTCTGACTCCTATACATTTTTGGAGTCACAGATGCCTTAGAGAAATCCAAGACAACTATGAGCAGCAATGCCCCCCCCCTCCCAGCTGTGCCTATGAAGCACAGAAAGATGACTTTGGAGGGCTTCTGTCCATGCCACCATGGATGCCAGGCCAGGGGCCTCTTGCCCCTGCCCTCCAGGACCCATGTTTACCTGATGGGCAAGTTGGGGGGAGTAGACTTTTCTGAGGTACTGTAACCAGCCTCCAGGCAGTCAATAAGGAAAGCTCTGGACTTCAGTCTTCTGGAGCTGATGAGTTCCTCTGTTGCTTTTTCTGATTTCCCAGCCATTGTCATGAAAAACTATTTAACAAATACTTTTGTTTTTAATACTTTTTTTTTTCTTTTTTGGTCTGTTGTGAGGCTTGAACTCCGGACTTGGATTCTGTCCCTCAGCTCTTTTTTTTTTTTTTTTTTGGGTCCGGTCATGGGGCCTGAACGCTGTCCCTCAGCTCTTTAGCTCAAGGCTAGTGCCCTATCACTTGAGCCACAGCGCCACTTCTGGCTTTTTTCTTTCTGCTTATGTGGTGCTGAGGAATCGAACCCAGGGCCTCAGGCATGCAAGGCAAGCGCTCTACCACTGAGCCAACTTCCCAGCCCTGTCCCTCAGCTCTTTAGCTCAAGGCTAAGACTCTAGGACTTGAGCCACAGCACCAGCACCACTTCTGGTTTTCTGATGCTTAATTGGAGATAAGAGTCTCTCAGAGGAGCTGAGAAGGTGGCTCAGTGGTAGAGTGCTTGTCTTACATGCATGAGGCCCTGGGTTCATTCCTCAGCACCACATAAACAGAAAAAGCTGGAAGTGGCGCTGTGGCTCAAGTGGTAGAGCTCCAGCTTTGAGCTGAAATGCTGAGGGACAGTGCCCAGACCCAGAGATCAGGCCCCACAACCAAAAAAAAAAACAAAGGTCTCACAAACTTTCCTGCCTGGCTGGCTTTGAACCACAATCCCTGGATCTCAGCCTCCTGAGTAGCTAGGATTACAGATATGAGCTACCAGCACCCAGATTTGCTTAGCATTTTTTGTTCAAAGCTGGTACTCTACCTCTTGAGCCACACCTCTACTCTGGCTTTTTTTTTTTTTTTTAATGTTGGTTAATTGGAAATAAGAATCTCTCAGACTTGTCTGCCCAGGCTGTCTTGGAACTGCCATCCTCAGATCTCAGCCTTCTGAATAGCTCGGATTACAAGCATGAGCCACCAGCACCTGGCAAATAAATACTTCTTTACCCAAGCCTACAACTCCTGGTTCCCTGCCTGTTCTTTGTAGAGAGTGAGGCTGTTGTGAGAGCCTCAGCAGTCTGGCAGGACCCTGTTAGAGATGAGGTGGGGTGAAGCCAGGTCACTGCCCACCTGACATGGCTCTTGACACTTAGAGAAAGGAGAAGAAAGCTCTGAGAGGCCTGGGCAGAGTGAGAGAGTATGTCTGGTCAGATCACAAGGGGGGGGGGGGAGGGGGGGAGATGACCTATTTTATCTCCACAATGGAATTGCTTTATTCCTGGATTTGAAAGAGGAAAAAGAGGGGCAAGACCTAGAAGGGTGCCTGAGAGCCCCTTTATTTCTCTTTCAAAGTAAGAATGACTCATGCGATGATCGTGTACCTACTGTGTGCTGTAGCCCATGAACCCAGGAAGGGAATGGAGACTAGGAGAGAGCAGATACAGGCTCTGCCCTAGACCACATCACATCCGGGGACAGACAAACCACTGGAAGATCAGTGAAAAGGGACATTTCCTTCCTTCCTTCTTTAAGTACCCACTGTGTGCTGGATTGTGGGGATTGCTGGCCACTGAAGTGAGTGGCGTGGGAGAGGCAGCATGGAGATGGGTGGGCCAGGGAGCAGCCTGGGGTAAAGGTGGCAAACTAGAGCACTCACTGGAAGTCTTTTTGCAGAATCTGGACTGAGCAGATGCAGAGTCATTTGGAGCAGAAATTAGAACACACAGAATGATAGAGGATTTTTTTTTTCCCCTCTGAGTAGTGAAATGTATGAGAAAAAGTTGCAAAATAAAAAAAAAGCACTTTTAATCAGACATTTCACCTCTTGCCTTCATTAAGGAATCATGGTTACAGGAAGTGGCATGGTTTCAGAAACTCCGGAGGGGGAGGGCAATGACTGTATTTTGGGGGTGCCAAGTTAGAGTTCCAGGAGAGATGACTGGGGCAAGGAATTGGGACCAGTTAGGAGAACTTGCAGGCTGGGCTGGCGAGCCTCGGCCGGATCCTGTTGACAGAAGAAAGCCCCACCATTTTAGGAAGATGAGGTGGAATGAGTCTTCTGCAGGAGGATTGCAGAGAAGTAGAGGGTTGCAGTCTCCACAGATGGACACTTCCTTTGTGCTCCATGGGGTAGGACCCTTCTTAGTGTCCTCTTACCTATGCTGTGCCCTCAAACCATGGGCCCTGCCTTAAGGGGTCAAGAGAGAGAGCAGACACTTCATTCCTTCACTAATGTTTATTGAGCACCTATGGGTTTTGGCTGGGACATTAATGTGTGTGTCTACCCCAAAATTGGCTACAAACGTTTGAAAGTGAGGGATTCAGACTCAGTTTCCATGGAGGCATACTGGAGGGGAGTTTGAGGAATGCTGGAAAGTGCAGAGCATGAGCCCCTTGTGAAAAGATACCCACCACAAACCACAGGGCTTACTTTTTATAAGTACATTAAATCTGTGTATGTGTGTATGTGTGCGCACGCGTGCGTGTGTGCGCGTGTGCCCATCAAGGCTGGGGCATTAATTCCTCACAACAAATTTATGAGGGTGGCTGGGTCCCAGTGGCTTACACCTATAATCCTAGTTACTCAGGAGGCTGAGACCTGAGGATCAAGGTTTGAAGCCAGCCTTGGAGGGAAAATTCAGTGAGACTCTTTCATCTCCAAGTAACCAGCAAAAAGCTGAAAGTGGAGGGAAAAGTCCAATGAGAGCATGAGGCCCTGAGTTCAAGTTCCAACACACACACACACACACACACACACACACACACACACACACACACACTCTCTCTCTCTCTCTCTCTCTCTCTCCATGAGGCTGCTTTTCCAATCATTGCTACTTGGCAGATGTAGAAACTGAGACATAGAGAACAGAGCTAACTTGCCCAAGGTCACACAGTACCAAGATTTGAACCCAGCGGGATCCCAGACTCTCTGCACCTCACCGTCCAATTAGGAATCTTGTGTGAAGCTGGGGTGGGGAGAGGCAGGTAATTGAATGTTTCTGCAACCTCATGAAGGTCACATTTGCCTGAAGGTGGTTTGGGTCACCCAATCTGCTGTAAGGGATTGATTGCCTTGGAGTTCCGGGCAGGAGGGGAAGAGGGACATGCACCCTAGAAGATGAGGGTCAGGGAGCCGGCCGGGGCAGTGGGGAAGGGCTGAGGCTCCTCCCTCTGTGCCTTGTCCCACAGGATGTGGCTGAAGCCCTGGGAGGGGGTGCGGATCCAGAAATCAACTCAACCACGAACAGCAGCCACTCAGTCTGGAACCTGGGCAGCGCCTTCTTTTTCTCAGGGACCATCATCACTACCATTGGTGGGGGAGGAGATATGGCATGTGGATGGGCGGTAGAGGGCAAGGAGTTACCTTCTGGGGGACGGCGCAGGGAGAGGGGGTGCCAGGTGACACCTCCCCTTCTTGCACTGCTCCTCTGCGCAGGCTACGGCAACGCAGCCCTGCGCACAGATGCCGGGCGCCTCTTCTGCATCTTTTATGCCCTGGTGGGGATCCCGCTGTTCGGGATCTTGCTGGCAGGGGTCGGGGACCGGCTGGGCTCCTCTTTGCGCAGAGGTATTGGCCACATCGAAGCAATTTTCCTGGTGAGCTGCTCCAGGGACCCCTGGTGCACTTGTGCTGGGGGTGGAGATTCCCTCCCCTAGGTCCCCAGTAAGTGAGATGTCTGGAGCCTCCCCTGAAGCACCCCATCCCCACACCCCCGGGGAGGCAGGGGTTCGGAGAAATGGGAGTGGAGGGGGTTGTGGACCTGGTGGTCCTGCCTGCCGCCCCTCCCTGCAGAAGTGGCACGTGCCCCCGGAGCTGGTGCGGGTGCTGTCCGCGATGCTCTTCCTGCTCATCGGCTGCCTGCTCTTTGTCCTCACGCCCACGTTCGTGTTCTGCTATATGGAGGACTGGAGCCAGCTGGAGGCCATCTATTTTGTCATAGTGACGCTCACCACTGTGGGCTTTGGAGATTACGTGGCGGGTAAGGTGCTGTGTTTCCTGTCTGCTTTGTTTCCTGTCCCGGAGCTCTGCTGTCTGGGTGCTCCCTTCAAGTCCCACGTGGAAACTGCTCCAACTCCTACAGGGGAGTCAGGCAACAGTGCACCGTGCACTTTGATTCACGCAGCACCTGTGCACGCGTAACATCGTGATACATCCATGTCCTGTGTATGCACATACTGCATGCACAGATGTCCATCGTCCACCTCACAGGTGTGTCATTCATCCAAAGGAACATTTTTCTGTGGCAAGTTTGCTGGGCACACCTTCAACGCTGCATTCATCTTCCAGTTCACATTTGCACACATTAGCTCCTTCCCCCTCCCCCACACTCATTTGCACACATTAGCATCCACCCTGCGGAGGGCTTCCTCACTCCGTGAGGGTCAGAGACCTTCAGTGATCCATCCCCCACCCCCACGCAGCCATCAACTTGTTTTTTCCTTTCATGGTGGGACCCCAGGCGCTGATCCAAGGCAGGACTCCCCTGCATACCAGCCGCTGGTGTGGTTCTGGATCCTCCTTGGCTTGGCCTACTTCGCCTCGGTGCTCACCACCATTGGGAACTGGTTGCGTGTGGTGTCTCGCCGCACTCGGGCAGAGGTAGGCGCTCCTGGCTAGCGCTGCAATGCGCCTGCGCTACCGCTGGTGTATTAAGGCCTGCTGTGGGCTCTCATGGGCCTGGCTGCCTCCCTGGCAGTGTGCGATCATGGAGTTGGGGGGCTGAGTGACATCTCGGGTGTGCCCAGAGAGGTAAACGCAAGTATGCTCGACCCCTTCTGCCCTCATGGACGGGGTTGCCAGATTTAGCAAATTAAAAGGGAAAAAGAATGCAGGAAGTCCAGTTAAACATGAATTTCAAATACCCTAAAATTGTATTTGTTATTGATCTGAAACTCACATTTATTTAACTGGCTGACCTCCATTTTGCTGCCCTGGTGCAAGCACCTGCTATATAGAGGCAGCGAAGATCTCAGGACTGGACAGGAAGCTGAAATAAAACTGGGGCTCTGAAAGAGAGTGGGGCGCTGGTGCCTCAGGCCTGTTATCCTAGCTATTTCAGGAGGCTGAGATCTGAGGATCCAAGTTGGATGCCAGCCCTGGGCAGAAAAGTGTATGAGACTCTTATCTCCAAGTAAGGGCAAAAGGCCGGAAGGGGTGTTGTGGTTCAAGTGGTAGAGCACCAGTTCTTGGGTAAAAAAAAAAAGCTCAGGAACAGCACACAGGGCCTGAGTTCATACTCCAGTAGCAGGATAATAATAATAATCCGGCGCTTTGTAGAAAGATGGTTGCAGGAGGGGTTACTTCTATGCAGATACAGAAAGGTGTGAGGCGCCCTCCCACAGGCGCCGCCTGCCCCGTGAAGGGACAGGGGGGCTGGCAGTCTGGAGAGGACCCCTGGTCCAGGATTACTTTTCCGCAGATGGGCGGCCTCACCGCCCAGGCTGCCAGCTGGACAGGCACGGTGACCGCACGGGTGACGCAGCGGGCCGGACCCCCCGCGCCGCCGCCGCCGCCAGAGAAGGAGTGGGTGCTCCTGCCTCCGCCGTGCCCGCCGCCGTGCCCATCGCCGCCCGTGGGCCGGCCCCCGTCCCCCGGGCTGCCCGAGAAGAAGGTGGCGGCGCCCTCCCCGCCCACCGCCTCCGCCCTGGACTACCCCAGCGAGAACCTGGCCTTCATCGACGAGTCCTCCGACACGCAGAGCGAGCGCGGCTGTGCCCTGCCGCGCGCGCCGCGCGGGCGCCGCCGCCCTAACCCCCCCAAGAAGCCGGCCCGGCCCCGGGGCCCCCGGCGACCCCGGGACAAAGGCATGCTGGCGGTGTGAGGCTAGGTCCCAGCTCGGACCCGCGAAGGGCTCCGTCCCTGAACTCTCCCCCACCCCACCCCGGCATGCTTGGCTTGTTCGACCAAAGAGCCCTCTTTCCTGGATGCCCGAGCTCGGGGCCGAGGGTCACCGAGCGGCCTCCCCGCCCCCAGCCCCTGCCTCACTTCTGGCCCTCCCCGGACCCCCCCCCCGGCCTTTCTGTGTCGCTGCCCCGGCCAGGCTGGTCCCTCGCGACACCCCACGACTGTGCCTCCAAGCCTGCATCAATAAACGAGCAGTCAGCACCGCGCGGGCCGTGCGCTGCGGGACCGGGCTGCGGGGCTCCCCGCCGGGGCGCGCACGGCCGGCCTTCAGTGACCCTCCTCCCCCAGGATCCCACGTCCATCCGGTGGGGAGGGAGGAAGGGAGGGATGGGGGGGAGGTCACGTCTTGACCTGGAGGTGACCCCGCAGGGTCCGGGGTCGGAGTCGGTCAAGGAAGGGGGCTGGGCGCCTCGGATCTCCGCGCGCGGATGGGTGCGGGTGCGGGGGTTGGAGGGATGCGGGAGGGCGCGTGGCGTCCGCGGTGAACTCTCCGGGTGGGGGACGCCACCCCCCCCCCCACCCAGGGCCCGCCATTCCGCAGAGCCTCGCCGCCCCTCCCCCGCGGCGGAGCGTGACCCCCGCCCCGCCCCCCGACCCCGCCCCGCCCCGAGACCAGCGGCCTCTGGTTCCGTTGAGGGCGAGAATCATGGACGGGGAAAAGCCTCTCAAAGTAAGGACTCTTCCCGGCGCCCCCTCGCCCGGTACCCGGAGGAAACTGGCACCCTCCCCTCCCCAACACTTGTCCCCGTCCCCGTCCCCGCCCCACCAGGCCCCCCTCTCCCTCTGCGCCCCGGCTCCCCACTGGTCTGTGGCCCACAGGGGGCGCCGAAGCCTTCGGAGCGCCGGGGCAGCGCGGGCAAGGCCACCCTGACCAGCCACATCCTCAACCTGTGGAGCACCGCCACGCTGCAGCCGCAGGTGAACCTGTCGCTGGCCGAGATCTGCGAGAACTTCGACGATGAGGGCCGAGACGTGGGCAAGATCCGCCGGCAGAAGAGCCAGTCCCTCACCTCCAGGCCCCAGGGGCTGGAGGAGCGGGCTCTGCTGGACCTGGAGCTGCACGGCTGCAACTCCATAGAAGGCCTCCGGGAGAAGGGGGCCGAGGACATCAGTACCAAGGCCGGTCAGTGTGACTTGGCCAGGCCTTGGGCACCCACGGGGCAGGGTGGGGGCGGGGTGTGTGTAGGGATGGGGAGGGTCTCAATTTCCCTTCTGTAAAATGGGGGCGGGCGGGTGGGGGGGGAGCCAGATGGAAGTTTCTCAACTTCCCTGGGAGGGGCGCTAGAGAGAATCCTCCATCCTTTAATGCAAAGAGGCATTCCTCGGGTGCCCCCTACCGGCCAGTCAGAACCCACATTTAGGGGGCGGGTTGAGGGGGGAGGCTTTGGATCTGGTTGTTGGTTTATTTGTAATGCTGAGGTTCGAATCCCGGTCCTCACACAGGTTAAGCGAGCACTCTGCCACTGAGCTTCGATTCCCCAACTTCCCTCCCTCACCTCCACACACATTTGATAAACTCAGGGCTCCACTCTTGCTAGACTGCCTTTCTACCAACACATCTGGCTTTTTGCAGGTTGTTTGGAGACAAGAGTCTCTTAGATTTGTCTGCCCTGGTTGGCTTTGAAACATGATCCTCCATATCTCAACACCTTGAGTGCTGAGATTAAAGGTGTGAGCCATTGGCATCTGCTTCCCTAGATTTGAATGGACTCATGGAGCCAGTTGAAGGAGTTATTCTCTGTTTAAAGATTTGCACTGAGGTCACTAGTGTGTGTGTGTGTGTTTGTGTGTGTACGTGTGCAAGCATATGAGTGCACGCTGGTCCTGGGCTTGAAACTCAGGGCCTGGGCACTATCCCTGAGAGCTTTTGTGCTACAGCTCCTTCCTTCCTTCCTTCCTGGGCACTAGCCCTCAGCTCTTAAGCTCAAGGCTAGCGCTCTACCACTTGAGCCACAATGCTACTTCCTGTTTTTTGGTGGTTTATTGGAGATAAGAGTCCCATGGATGTTCCTGCCAGGGCTGGCTTTGAACTATGATCCTCGGATCTCAGTCTCCTGAGTAGCTAGGATTACAGGAGTGAGCCACTGGGCTGGCGGTTTACAATTTTTAAGCACCTACCACAGTATCTTTTTTGGGGACTTGTTACCCCTACTTGATCTCTCCACTTCACTAGAAAATAAGAACTAATAACTGTGTAACGTTTTGAGCATTTGCTTTATATCAGATATTAGGGTTCCTTGCATAATTACCTCTAAACCTCCCAACTATTACAGGAGGCCCTCCCAGGCTGGGGATACAGCTCAGTGGTAAAGTTCTTACCTAGCATGTGCAAGGCCCTAGGTTCAATCTCTAGCACTGCATAAATAAAAACAATGTCATTAGAGACCATTCTTATGACTCCATATTGCAGATGAACCTAAGGGCAAGAGATTTCCAATTGTTGGCCCTAAGTGGGAGAGGCGGAACAGAAATCCAGGTAGGTGGAACTCTAAAGCCCAGGCTTGTAGCCCTTGCCCCATCCTGACTCCCAACTGAGGTAGCATGCACAACTGGTCTTCTACCCATCCATCTCCTCTGTTCCAGGGAAGACAGAGGAGTATGCCAATGACTAACTCGTCTTTTCTTTTCTCTAGAAAAGTGTTCCTCAGAGTCATTAATCAGTCTCTCAAAGAACGTACCCCATCGAGCCTATTGGACAGAACAGCAGAACAGGGTTAGAGGGGTCTAAGAATACTGGGGAGGTGGTTAGAGAATGGAAGATGACAAGCAAGCTGAGAGTTATAGCAGAGGAAGGGTGGAAATGGTTGGCAGAGGGGAAAAGAAATAAGGTGGGGCTCCGATGTCTCTCACCTGTAATCCTAGCTACTCAGGAGGCTGAGATCTGAGGATCACGGTTCAAAGCCAGCCTGTGTAGAAAAAGTCCATAAGACTCATCTTCAGGGCTGGGAAGGTGGCTCAATGGTAGAGCGCTTGCCTTGCATGCATGAGACCCTGGGTTCGATTCCTCAGCACCACATAAGAAAAAAGCTGGAAGTGGCTCTGTGGCTCAAGTGGTAGAGTGCTAGCCTTGAGCTGAAGAGCTGAGGGACAGCATCCAGGCCCAGAGTTCAGGCCCCACAACCGGACCCCCCCAAAAAAAGAAAAAAAAGAAAGACTTATCTTCAATTAACCATCCAAAGGCCAGATTTGGAGCTATGGCTCAAGTGGTATAGTACTAGTCTTGAGCAGAAAAGCTCTGGGACAGTGCCTAGGCCCTGAGTTTAAGCCCTGGACTAGCACGCACGGGCATGCACGCGCACACATACACACACACACACACACACACACACACACACACACACAAGAAAAAAAGACAAAAAGAGGAAGGAAGCTGGTTGGGGGTCGAGTTTCTAGAGATCATTTATCTTGTGGCAGTGCTGGGGCTCCCCTGATGCCTGAAGTTTTGTCTCACTGCTTTTAGCTGCCACTGCCCCTGATGGAACTCATGGAGAATGAAGCTCTGGAAATCCTCAAAAAAGCCCTCAAAAGTGAGTCTCCCTCTCTGCCAGCTTCCACAAAAGCTCCTGGGGAACTGTACAGGACTTGGGTGAAGGTGGATGTCGGGATGTGTCTGCCGTGTCAGATCTCCTTAGCACTGACAATGACTGCAAGGATCCCATTACTGTTAAAAGTTGAGAATTCAAGCTGGGTGCTGTGGGCTCAACATGTAATCCTGGCTACTCAGGAAGCTGAGATTGGGAAAACTCATGTTCCAGGCCAGCCTTGGCAACAAAGCTCATTTATGACCCCATCTCATTGGAAAAGGCTGAGCATAGTGGTGGTGGGTGTCTGTCACTCTAGTTATAGAGAGAAATGCAAAATCAAATTTTGGTCTAGGCTAAGAAAAGAGCAAGATCCTATCTCAAAAATAAGCAGACCATTTGGGCTGGGAAGGTGGCTTAGTGGCATGCATGAAGCTCTGGGTTCAAGTTCTCAGTACCATATACACAGAAAAAGCCAGAAGTAGTGCTGTGGCTCAAATGGTAGAGTGTTAGTCTTGAGCAAAAGGAACTCAGGAACAGTGCCCAGGCCCCAGGACTGGCAAAAGAAAGAAAGAAAAAAAAAATGGAGCCCCCGCCTAGTGAATTGAAGACCTCAGTTCAGACCTCAGTACTGCCAAAAACAAAAAATAAAGTTTAGGCACAGAAAAACCCAATGTGGGAGGTATGGGGTGACTGTCAAAGGTCTTTTTTTTTTCCTTCGGTCGTGGGGCTTGAACTCTGGGCTTGGGCGCTGTCCCTCAGCTCTTCAGCTCAAGGTGAGCACTCTACCATTTGAGCCACAGTGCCACTTCCAGTTTTCTAGTGGTTTATTGGAGATGAGTCTCATGGACTTTCCCTGCCTGGGCTGGCTTTGAACTGCTATCCTCAGATCTCAGCCTCCTCAGTAGCTAGGATTATAGGCATGAGCCACCGGCACCTGGCTTTTTTTTTTTTTTTTGTCAGTTGTGGGGCTTGAACTCTGGGACTGGACACTGTCCTTCAGTTCTTCAGCTCAAGGCTAGAGCTCTACCACTTGAGCCACAGTGCCACTTCCAGTTTTTTTCTGTTTATGTGGTGCTGAGGAATTGAACCCAGGGCTTCTTGCATGCAAGGAAAATACTCTACCACTGAGCCACCTTCCCAGCCCCTGTCAAAGATCTTTTTTTTTTTTTTTTTGGCCAGTTGGGGGCCTGAACTCTGGGCCTGGGTGTTATCCCTCAGCTCATCAGCTCTTCAGCTCAAGGCTAGCACTCTACCACCTGAGTCACAGGGCCACTTCTGGCTTTTTCTGCTTATGTGGTGCTGAGGAACTGAACTCAGGGCCTCATGCATGCAAGGCAAGCACTTTACCACTGAGCCACCTTCCTAGCTCCCTGTCAAAGGTCTTAATTGTGCCCCTCTCTAGCTGGTGCGGATATCTAAGGCTGTTCTTCACCTGCCCAATGGTATGACAGCCCTTGGGTCCCTTCTAGGTGTGGAAATAAATGTACTAGTCTTTGGATTCTTGGGAAAAACTTTTTTTTTTTTTGGCTGGTTGTGGGGTTTGAACTCTGGGCCTGGCGAGTGCTCTACCACTTGAGCCAAGCACCACTTCCATTTTTCTGGTGGTGAATTAGAGATAAGAGTCTCACTGACTTTCCTGCCTGAGCTGGCTTTGAACCAGTATCCTCAGATCTCAGCCTCCTGAGTAGCTAGGATTACAGGTGTGAGCCACTGGCCCCTGGCAAACTTTTTCTTTCTTTCTTTCTTTCTTTTCCTTTCTTTTTTTGCTGATTCTGGGACTTGAACTCAGGGTCTGGGATCTGTCCCTGAGCCTCTCTGTGCTCAGGGCTAGTGCTCTACCACTTGAACCACAATGCCACTTCTGGCTTTTTCTACGTATGGGGTGCTGAGGAATCAAACCCAGGGCTTCCTGCATGCTAGGCAAGCACTCTACCACTGAGCCACATTCCCAGCCCGTGGAATTTTAATTAAGTAGTTGTAAAAGGGGTTACAATTCTGAGTAGAGTTATGAGTATAAGGCTTCTTGGACAATGTCATCCTTTCCTTTGTGGTAAACTTTTTAATGCCATAGGGCTCAGCAAAGAGAAAGGACAGAGTAACTAAAGTGTGTGGTTCGGATGTCCTTAAAGCTGCTGGTTCACACGGCCCACGTTCGGGCCAGAAGCAGCATCTTTAACCTTGGTCGTTAGCTTTCCTTCACCGATCACCGCGGAGGTCCGGCGGGACCCACACGAACACAGACCCAAGCGCCGGCGCTGCGGGCATCCCAAAGCAGCTGCAGTTCCTCAGATGACACCCGAGGCGCGGCCTGGCGGGGTGCGGGGGAGGCCTTGGGGTGCCCGCTGCCCTGAGCTCGGTTCTGCCCTGTTCCTAGGCTACCGGTCCCAGATCGGCAAAAACCACTTTCTGACCAAGGAGCTGCAGCGGTACATCGAGGGGCTCAAGAAGCGCCGGAGCAAGCGACTGCAGTGCCCATCCTAGCAAACCTGGACTCCCGCCCGCCCCGCCCCACCCCGCCCCAGCCCCCTCCGCGTGAATATGAACCCTGGAGAAAATAAAAAGTGTCGGTGATCCCTGAGTCAGTGCGTGGCTGCCGCGTGAGGCGGACGCACGTGGCCCCGCCCTTCCCCGTGACCTTCATTCGGTCACCGCAGTGACCTTGAGTTTTCTTCATCGGAGTCGGGTCCCTGTCTTCCTTAGGCTCCAAGCCTAGGGTTATTTTAGTCTAGGCATAGTTTAGGTCTGAATGTCCTACCGAGATTGAGCCGCTTTCGGAGGGTGATTGAGTCTGAAGCTCAAGTGCCCCACAAACATTACCCTGGAGGGGCGGGAGGGAAAGGGGTAGAGCCCCCCTCCCTTCCCTCCCCAAGCTCCGCCCCTCATGCATATGCAGATAAAAGGCGCCTCTGTCGGTCCGCCCCCTTATTTACATATGTGAGTCGTGGGCTCTCGCAGCCGACCTCGCCACTCCGCAAAGCGCGTTGAGCCTCACTTGTGAAAGCCTCTCCAGGCCCCACCCACCTCGGGTTCTTTCCCGCAGACTCTCCGTGCCTCTGGTCCCGCCCCTTGGGCGGCCGCGCACGACTGTGCGCCGGTGAAGCTCGACGGCGGCGGGGCGGAGCCTTGGAGAAGACCCGCCTATTAGTCCCGCCCCGACTCCTCCCGGCGCGCAGGCGCTGCCCGCCCCTTGTCTGATTAGCATAGGGCCCCGAGCCCCACCCCCTGCTTTGCATGCGCTCCGCCGGCCCCGCCCCCGCTGTCAGCTGGAGGAAGCGGAGTAGGAAGCGGCCGCGATGTCCTTTTGTGTCCTACAAGCAGCCAGCGGCGCCGCCGAGTGAGGGGACGCGGCGCGGCGGGGCGGCGCGGCCCGAGGAGGCGGCAGAGGAGGGGCCGCCCACGGCCCCCGGCTCACCCCGGCGCTCCGGGCCGCTCGGCCCCCATGCCTGCCCGCCAGCGCTGCCGGAGCCCCAGGTCCGGGGGCGGAGGGGAGCGCGGCCGCGGGGGTGGGCGGGCGGGCGGGGCGCGGGGGCCATGTGCGAGCGCGGCCGGGAGGCGGGCGGGGGGCGGGCTCCAGGCGGGGTCCGGCGTCAGGGCCCGCCCGGGTCCGGTGAGGGGAGCCAGACCCGGCTGAGGGTCTGGGCGGAATCCGGCGTCCGGGTCCCGGGCGGGCCGGCCTGGTCGGCAGCGGCTCGGGCTGCGGCTGCGGCTCCGGTCAGCCTGCGGCCTGGGATCCAGCCCCGGGGCAGGGTTGCGTGGGGCACCCGGGAGCGTGCCTGAGCCTCTGGGGCGGCTTGGGGTGGAAGATGGGGAGGGCTCTCGGTGGGAGAAGGGGCTCTGAAGACCACGTGGGGGCGCTCGAAGGGGCCTTGGGCCACCCTCCTCTCTAGGTCAAAGGTCATCGCACCGACGGGGCAGAACTTCTTCCTCCTTGGCTCCTCTCCTTTACTTCCTGATAACCTGAGCGAGGTCCCCCGCGGGCGGAGGAGGAGGGGAGGCCAGCAACTTTAGGCAACTTCCCATAGGTGTGCGCAGGTTGGGGGGGGGCGGGGCGCCCGGGGAGGTGGCGGGCTCTGCGGCTGCGGGAGTGTTTGAGTGAGTTGCAGGCCCGGGGTGCAAGGAGGTGGAGCCGCGACCGACCGGTGGTGTGGCTGAGACTTGGGCATGCTGGGGCAGGAGGGGGGAGCCTGTACAACTGTCTGCCTGTGCGCGAAGTTGGAGCTCCGGTGAGTGTGTGTGTGGGATCGAGTAGGAGACTTGAGTGTGAGTGTGCTTATGGAGTGTGCCCTTTGGGAGGAGGTTGTGAGGATGGGGTTGGTGAAGGCCCTGGTTTGAGTGTGGAAGTCTCCTGCAGAGTGAGCATGTGTGGGCTTGCGGGGACACCTGAGACTAGGTGAGTGGGGAGAGTGTGAGCACTGCCCTGGGGCTTGTGTGCTGCTGTGTGTGTTCTCTGGAATAGAGAGAATATGAAGATGGGGAGGGGAGTCATCCCCAACATCTGGAGGAAGTGGCTGGGAGGTATCACTTCTGGCTGGGGGGTTCCAGGTGAAGTGGAAGGTTGCCCTGGGGGCTGAGGTTACCTTGCTCCCTGACCTGAGTGCTGAGCAGGGAGGGCTTTGCAAGCCTTTTCCAGGTTCCCAAGAGGGAGAGACCTGCTGTCAGTTAAGGGCCTGGAGGCTCTTGAGACTGTTCCCATGGTGACAGCGGGGGCCCTCTTCCTAAGGCTGCCCTTCCTTGGACTCTGCCCCCCTCCCTCCCCTTGGCTGAGCTTGGAAGCCTGGCCCAGGCCCAGTGTTGGGCAACCCCTGTGGCAGGGTGCCTTTCCGTAATCTGACGGTTTCTCCCTGCAGGTGACCAGCGCCATGTCCAACCAGGTGGTGGGGATTGAGCCTCTCTACATCAAAGCAGAACCAGCCAGCCCTGACAGTCCAAAGGGTTCCTCAGAGACTGAGACTGAGCCCCCTGTGACCCTGGCTCCTGGTCCAGCCCCAGCCCGTTGCCTCCCAGGGCACAAGGAAGAGGAGGATGGGGAGGGGGCTGGGCCTGGTGAGCAGGGCAGTGGGAAGCTGGCACTCAGCTCCCTGCCCAAACGCCTTTGCCTGGTCTGTGGGGACGTGGCCTCCGGCTACCACTATGGTGTGGCGTCCTGTGAGGCCTGTAAAGCCTTCTTCAAGAGGACCATCCAGGGTGAGCCCCCACCCCACTTCTGTGCCCTTTGCTCCATACCTGTTGGGCTCATTAACACCTTCCAACGGGTTCACTAGGCCTTGAGTCTGCCCTGCAGGGCTTGGCTCAATGTCAGCAGTCTGGGGTTCTCAGGCCCCCTGTCCTTCCCAGGAATGCCCTCTCCTTTAAATGAAACAAAGCTAGCAGCACGCGTAGCTGGACTGGAATGGGAGATGTGAAGGGATGGAGGTACCACCTAGGTTTCTGGGTTCTGTAGGTCCAGCACCTTCTACTGTGGCTCTGAACAATCCAAGACCGCTTGTACCTATTCCCAGACTTCATCCTTGCTTCTGGCAGCTGTTGACTTCTCCTGGCATAGAAAATGCTGCTCTTTTCTCCCCAGAGCAGTACCAACATAAAGCAGGGTTTTAATGGCCGAGAAGGGTATGTTGCATTTTAGCATCCAACTTTAAAAAGATGGGCATCCAGGCTCTTTAAAAGTCACTGTATGTTTTCCTTCTTTGAAGACAGGATCTTCAAAAGGTTCCAGGTTGGCCTGGAACTCTTGATCCTCCTCTCTCAGCCTCACAAAGGCTGAGATTATAGGCATACACTACAGCACCTGGGTTAACTTTTTCCCTCCCTTGAGTGCTTACTGTGTGACAGATACGGTACCCTTTTACTTCTATGTCTATACCCCCTCCCCCCCCCCCACCCCAGCAACTCCATGAGGTGTTAGCATTGTAAGCAGAGTCAGACCTGAGGCTCAGAGAGGTTTTTGAAACTTTGTTAGTGTCTCACAGGTAGAAAGGCAGAACTAGAGTTTGGTGTCTGTCTAGAGCTGAGCTCTTTGATGCTAGCCAGACTGCTACTCTGCCTATTACTAATAACTGGACTTTAGACCCCTGATTGTGACATTCTAGCCAGTTTTGATTTGGCTGAAACACATGGGCCTCAATGCTCTGTGTTCCTTGCTGGCCTGACAGCCATTCAGGCCACATCTGGGTGCCTCCTGCCACTCTGGAATTCTTCATTCTGAGTCCGGACAAATAGTTATTGAGCCCTAGCTATGCAGAGTCAGCATTCATTAGGCACTTAAGTGCTGCGAATCATTCTCAACCCACCTTTGCAATAACTATGGTTATTTCTCTCTTTCTCTTTCTCTTTATGCTGGTACTGAAGCTTGAACTCAGGGTCTTACACTCTTGCTTAAGTCTTTTTGCTCAAGGCTAAGGCTTTATTACTTGAGCCACAGCTCTACTTTAGCTTTTTGCTGGTTAGCTAGAGATAAGAGTCTTTGGTTGGCTTTGAATGAAGATCCTCAGATTATTTTTTTTGAGGGGGAGTCAGTCGTGGGGCTTGAACTCTGGGCTTGGGTGCTGTCTCTGTGCTCTTCAGCTCAAGGCGAGTGCTTGAGCCACAGTGCCACTTCCGGTTTTCTAGTGGTTTATTGGAGGTAAGAGTTTCATGGACTTTCCTGCCCAGGCTGGTTTTGAACCGTGATCCTCAGATCTCAGCCTCCTGAGTAGCTAGGATTACAGGCGTGAACCACCGGTGCCCGGCTATGGCTTTTGTTTCTTTTCTTATTGGTGCTAGGGATTGAACTCAGAGCCTCTTTGGTGCATAAGTATGTGTTCTACCCCCTGAGCTACATCCCAGACCCAAGTATAAATTTGGAATAAGAAAAATTCCAATTTTACAGCTGGGAAAACTGAGGTCCCAAAGGGGTTAGGTGTGGGACATGGCTAACTAGTCAGATTTGGGAAGTGGTAGCTTCAGGGTGACTCCAGGAAGCCCCGAGACTTTGCTCCTCAAATCTGCACTTTGCGGCCCTGGCCAGTATTCTAAGCCCTGGGGACACTACTGGGACCAAGCAGGAGGAAACAATAAATGGCTTTCCTAACAGCTTTCCTGTTTGGATGTTGTGTGTGCTAAAGGCCCTGTGTGGACCCAGGGCTCCCCCTGAGGAGGTGTCTGGAACGGAGTTCAGGAGCACACTAGGAAGTACTTCGTGCTCACTGGCCCGTTGGCTGGTTGTGACATTGGGTTCTTGGGGTAACCGTGTGGCTGGGAGGTCCACCCGCGCCTACTGTGGGCCAGGCCATGTTGCAGGCCCTGGGGCCAGCCAAGGCCCTGGTGGAGCAGATACTGAAGCAGGGAGAGAGGGACACTTGTGGTGAGTGGGTTCCATGTAGTAGTATATTAGGTGGTTCCTAAGAGCTGAGGGGAATCTGGCTGCGGAAGGGATTTGGTTTTGTCACAGTGGCCTGGGAAGGCCCAATGACAAGGAGCCTGGTGGGTGTCACAGAGCTCCAGGCAGGGAGCAGCATGCCCTGTTGGAGGAATATGTAAGAGGGAGTAGAGGTCAGGAGAGTCAGGGAGCCGGGGTGCAGGCCCTGAGCTGCAGGCTCACTAGGTGGTTTGAACAAAGAAAGGACAGCATCCCTCTGGCTGTGCGGAGAGCAGGGACGGGAGGAGGCCAGTGAGGTGAGAGGTGACCATGACGTCAAGGGTAGAAGCAGTTGCTGAGCACATAAGTTGGGATTTGGGTGACAGAGTAAAG